GGGAGGGAGGGAGGAAGGCAGGCAGGCAGGCAGAGAGCCAGACAGACGGACAAAGAGAGAGTGACAAACCTGCACTGCAGGATTAGACACCAGGAGCAGTGAAGCAGTGAGGCCATCGTATGCTTCTTTCCAGCTCTGCTCCCACAAGGCAGCCTTGATACCTGTCCTTCTGCTTGACTGGCTAGTTTGCAACCGTGCTGCTGCTGTGTCCAATGGCTGAAGAAGCAAGAACGGACACACACAAGGGAATGCAAATGCCATTTGATGAATAAAAAGATTTTATTTCAAATCATTTGTAGTTGCTGTTCCGTACAAAGATGTTGATGAGTGGACGCACTGTTCCTTGCTTGCTTTTCTGAATTCCTTCCTTCGTTCCATTCTTCCCTCCTTCGTTCCATTCTTCCCTCCTTTATCTCTTCCTTCTGTTACACAAACAGGGGAATGCAAATGAATACAGATTTCTTGAACACCATTTGTCTTCTTCTTTTTTAAAATACAAAGAGATGTTAATGAGTTGCTGCAATGGGAAGCTGACCAGCAAGAAGAGAAGATGGAGAAGATGGATCGAGAAGGGATCATGGGAAATAGAACCCCTCTGGGATGACCTAGAGGCTAGAACTGAGATGGAAAACAGCCAGTGAGCTTAGAACACAGCTAAAAGGTTGTTGCGATCTAGAAAAGAAGAGAGCGAACATCTTGGATAGAATCTCCCTGGCATGGAATAGCATACTAAAGACAAAACATTAACTGGAAAGAAGGTGACTGGGAAAGAGGCAAAAGCCGGAAAACGCTGTCGGTAGAGCTCAGATTCATCAAACACAAGAATAACCAGCAACATGTTGCAAAATTTACAGTGTTCGAGTCACTAAACATAGGAAAAGAGGATCAGTCCTTTGGGACATCCATTAAAAGGATTGGAACGATACAGAGAAAGAAGATTAGTATGGCCCCTGCACAAGGAGGACACGCATAAATCGACCAATGGCCCAAATTAAAATAAAAAAACAACAACATAGGAAAGACCATGGTGAAGACGAAGCAAGAAAGTCTCGCAACTCGCGAACAATGGCAACAATTGAAGAATTGTTCATATATCACTCGTTCTTAAACTTTGTTTCAGCCAAGCGCTTTCTCTTCAACCGTTTAGAATTTTGCAGGGACGTGCAGAGGAAGGGGACGGGTTTTTAAGGAGGACCAGATACGCGGGCAGAGGAAAAGAAGTAATACAAGACGCTACTACAATCTTTAGGTCAGATAAAGACATAAAGAATCTAGAGATGGATCTGTGGGAACAGGGATGGTTTGTTCGGCTTGGAGGAAGAAGTGGGGCAAGAAAACTGATAAACAGCCAAGACTACCGGCTGAAGATCGGTTACAAAAGAACGGACGCATGGGACGACCCGAAGAAAGTAATAACAGATAGATGGGTCAAATCTATTCAGGGATAGACCCAGAATGATTAAACACACGGTTTCATGGGAATATTACAGCAGCATTAAGCCGCATAAAATCAGTAGTCTTCCAGTGGCTTATCATGTACCATGCGGTATCTGTAAATGGATGGCTAGAAAAGAGGAGGAGGGAAAGAACAGAGAGCGGAAAGAAACACCACCTCTATGAAATGTGCCCACGTTATCCTCACCAGGTTCAGCATCGTCTACCCTACAAAAAAGGCTCAGCGAGGTCGGTTGCTTCAGGAAGGTTTCGCCGTTGCTTTTCCGCGCACAAGGCGCTACCACGACGTGACTTTCTAGCCCGAAAGCCTGGAAGACTGCTTCACTGAATGTTCTCACGCTCAAAAGTTGTGGAACGCATGGGAAAATGCAGTCAGCACATGGGCCAGAGTCACAAAATCACTCTTCCACTACAGATCCATTCTTTCTACTTAAAGTGAGCGATAGAGAAGGGGAGATAGAGAACGGGAGATAGAGAACGGGAGATAGAGAAGAGGAGAAGGGCAGATAGAAAAGGGGATATAGAAAGGGAGAAATGGATCTTACGGACCTAATGAGAAGGAATCGAGAGAAGAAAATAGTATAGTTAAAATACAGCTGTCCGACAGTTGTATTCTTGAAAAGAAGAAGAAGAAGAAGAAGAAGAAGACGAAGAAGAAGAAGAAGAAGAAGAAGAAGAAGAAGAAGAAGAAGGAGGAGGAGGAGGAGGAGGAGGAGGAGGAGGAGGAGGAGAAGAAGATCTAATGAGAAGAACAGTTCTTTGGGTGATTGGGTGATATGCGGAGTGAGATGCAAGGAGGCAATAGGAAAAGACTAGACAGCAGTAGCAGAGTCGTGGAGCGAAGCACAGACAATCATAGAGACAGAAATAAAGAGTCGAAGGGAGAAAAGCAGCAGCACAAACGGACAGGGAGTTTGACCGCGTAAGAAGCAGCAACATCCGGAAGGGCTTTGAGGAAGTATGGCTTAGACATGAACGCATAGCTCTGATAAGTGGGAGATCTCTGGTATTTTCCAATTGGCTACAAGCGCAGCAATGTTTTCACAGGGAGGAACAGGAGGAAGAGGAGCGCCTAGATGGATAACAACAAAATATAGGACAGGAAGGCCTAGGAAGCCCTCAGACAGCACAGGCGCCAAGAAAAGACGACAAGGAAAACAGATGCTCCTGCAACCTCAATCGATCAGCGGGAACAGCTCTAGATGCAAGCTAGGTTGTCAGGCAGCCAACTAGGGCTGAGAGGAGTTATGCGGGCAGACTCTTGGGAGTACACAGAGCTCGGTAACAGGAAGATTGCAGGGGTGTAACAGGGGTGATCCTAGTTCGACCATGGTCTCAGTTCGACCATGTTCTCAGTTTGACCATAGCCCTAGTTTGACCATGGTCTCAGTTTGACCATGGTCCTAGTTTGACCATGGTATCACTTTGACCATCAGCCTGAAGTACAGCATTGAACAAAGATGAGATTGTGGAGGCCAGCCATCAAGCCAGGAGCCTCCAGTTGACGAGTCAGGTCTAATATGGCTAGGGCCTAAAGGCCCTAAACCCTCTTAGGGAATGAGATTGCGAGCCGTGTCAATTTTGAATTTTGAAGACATAGCTCACTTTCCCTATTTCCTTTTTTTCTGAAGATAGTGCGTTACTATTTCCTTTGCCTGAGGATAAGTTAGTTGGTGCATAGCGGTAGTAGTCTGTCACAAGAGGATAAGCTATCTCTTCTGTTTTTTTCTTCCCCCCCCCCCCCCCCCCTTCTCCCCCCCCCCTAATAACTAAGCTATATTCTTCTTTCCTATGCCTCACGCTACCTAACCACCTATCTAAGTCCAGCTTTCAAGTCATCATTGAGTGTTGCAGTCATCGAGTGTCCTGAGCATTATGGGTTGACACCAACCTCCACCCGTGTCTAAGCACCGCTGCAATTTCCCAAAACCTGGCGCGAGCCGGAAGGCGGACACAAGCCTCCCAACCAACCAGGAGAGGCAAGCCAACTTATCTCAGCTGGTGAACCGGAAGCATGCCACAGGAGGCAGCAGGGGATCGAAATGGACGACGCGGGAATCGAACCCACGACCTCCTGAATGCCACTTACGTTCTCTACCAACTGAGGCCCGAGGATAGGCTATCTCATCCATGGGAAAAAAATGTTCCCTGTAGCATATTGCAGTTGTTTTGTAGCTAAAAAAAGAAACATTTGGAGCCTAAAACCCAATGGAATAAGGTCACCTGAGGTACAAGTCTGTCTGTGAGATCAAGCGGACAGGTCAAGAAAGGGTCCCTTCCTCTGGTGCTATGGTTTTCACTTAGAAAGCGTGGACGAGGCGTAAAAATGACCAAGTTTATGCTTTTTCAAGAGAAATAGAGCACCAGAAGGGCCTGCCATCAAAGCACCACTGCCGCCAAAACAGTTTTGTCGAACCTGTTGTGTTTTCTGGTCCCGGGGTCGCTGAACCTCTACCTTTGGAATTCTTTCTTTGATGGCGACACCTGTCAAAGGTGTTCCACCACAGGGACTGTGATCCAACAGCGGAGATTGGCGGTCGGCGACATTTTTATTCTTGGGCCGATCAAGGGCACTACCGCCACCAACCCACAGCTTCTCTAGTGCACCACCGAAAGCGCGGCATGGGGGGAACCGTGGTGGTTTAGGTCAGTCGTCCTGGCCCATCTTCACCCCAATAGAACACCCGGTCATTATCGCCGCCATATCTCAACTGAAAGTTGGCCCAACTACAGTTATAATGACCAGTCGTTCTATTCGGGTGGTGAAGACGGTAGCATGGGATCAAATCACCCTCGGATGTCCGAGGGCCCAGGTCCCAGACCTGTGAAAGTGAACAGCCATGCTGAGACCTGGAAGACAAAGTCAAGCATCAAACATTAAATCACAAAAAGGTCCCGCCAATCAGAAAGCCAATCAACCAACGGCCCAGCACAGCACACTTAGTTGTTCTCCACAACGAGCCACAGTCAGTCTTGCTGCATGCCGCACAACCATCATCAAATCCAGGCCACACATTACATTGATCAAGGCCTGGCAAATTCAAACCATATATTCTTCAGGGGGGCGAACCCATTTGGCGCATTCATTTCAGAATCTGTCGCCTGTTGGGGGCACAAGCACTGAAGCATGCAGTGCTGCTTCCTGCAGCGGCTGCCTAGGCAAGGGAAAATCAGAAACCCCAGGCACTCATAGCTAGAGCTAGCAGAGGAGGTCAGAAGGGTAAATACTAAATACTAAATTTTGAATGCATGGGTGATGGCTCGTGCTCGTGACATTCACACTTAAACCACCACTACTTCCTAAAGCCATGCCCGTTAACAAGGCACAATTTTATTTTAGGAAATGTACGGGCCACTACAGGAGCGCCCAAATTCATCCGACTAGAAACGCTTCTACTCTATTCTTTTTTCGGCGGCCGATAGCTGGGCCAAGTACTGGTGGTTTAATAATGCACTCTGTGAGAAGTAATTCCTAACGTCAGGTGGATGTTATTTTTTCTCCAGCTTCTTTTTAAAACCACCAGTACGTTTCCCCGCTAAGAAATCAAATATGCAGCTTGTATAGTACCAACTGGCCTAGCTCAGTTGGTACACCCCCCCGGGACCTTGTATAGTACCAACTGGCCTAGCTCAGTTGGTACAGCCCCCCGGACTGAACTGTTGAAATACAGACCCTACCGAGTTCAGACTCCACTCGAATCAGATGATGCAGATCAATAACATAGTGAAAGTTAAAATTTGAATTACCTAGGGCCAGTCAGTTCAAGATGATGATATCCGTTGCCGTTTAAAAAAAATATAAAAATAATAAAAATAAAAATAAAAATGTGGCATTGTATACAGGTGCATCTTTCAGGAAGTACGCAGGCACGGTTTTGCTCTATATCCATCCAGGCAAAACGGGCCTCGCATGGGACCGACCTATTTCGCCTAGATGGGTATCCAAGGACGGTTTCGCTCTGGCTCGATATCCATCCAGGCAAAACGGGCCTTTTTGGCTACCGGTAGATGTATATCCAGGGACGGTTTTGCTCTGACTCGATATCCATCCAGGCAAAACGGACGTTGCATGCGACCTGTTTCGCCTACGGTAGATGGATATCCACGGACGGTTTCGCTCTACATATCCATCCAGGCATCCAGGCAAAACGGGCCTCGTATGTGACCAACCCGTTTCGCCTAGGTGGATATCCAGGGGGACTCTGCACCGCGGTACTTGGGGCCTGCATGCACACGCCCCTACTCTGAAAAAATGGCTGGGAAACGTACTGGGCTAGCAGATCCACGGCTAGTTCCTCCTGGACGAACCTGAGTTTCAGTGAAGACAAGCTGGCTGGTTTGTCCTGGACGAACCTGGCCTGAGGTTCAGGGAAGAAAAGCTGGCTCAGCCTGGTTTGTCCTAGACTAACCTGAGGTTCAGCGAAGAAAAGCTGGCTCAGCCTGGTTTGTCCTAGACTAACCTGAGCTGAGGTTCAGGGAAGTAAAGCTGGCTCAGCCTGGTTTGTCCTGGACTAACCTGAGCTGAGGTTCAGGGAAGTAAAGCTGGCTGGTTTGTCCTAACCTGAGGTCCGGGAAGAACAGCTGGCTGGTT